GGGGATTAGAGCTATGAAAGTTACCTCATGTGTAGGCACCATGGAAAGAAGCTTTAATGACCATCGCTCACAAGATGGAAGAAGAAGAATGGAAGGAAGAAGTGGGGTGTGGACCCCTTTCTACTTTTTATCTTATCTCACACAAAGTGTTTTAGCTATGTTTTGAAATGAGCCAATGGGGGCTATTTATAGGCAAATTTAAGTGTCATTTTAAGTAGATTGATCAAGACATTTGATGCTCATCATCTATAGTACATAAGAGGCTTTGATACTAGCTACACATCCTTATCTAGCCACAAGATCAAAGATGAGATTTCACGTCCTTATCATTCTTTAGAAACTATAAATCAGGTCATTTTACCAAAAATATTGAAGTATGGAATAATTTTCACAAATGCCATTTAACTATACCAAATGTATCCTTGAAATTTAATAAAGAATGAAAGGGTAGGGGCATGGCTTTATGTAATTTGTAAGTTATCTTTCTTTCATCTAATAAGATGAAACTGTCTCAAAGGATTTACATGGGCTCAAGTCAATGAGGTAATGCCACATAAAACCTACTTTAAAATATCATTTCCTCTCATGGATTAGGGTTTAAGTCATAATTTTACGGTGTAACCAAAACCAAAGACCCATGTGAATGAGCTCACATATTTGCTAAATTAACATGTGACTAAAGAGTCAACTTTGTTATAAAATAATTTTCCTCATTAAAAACATTATAAAATACAATTTGAACAAATAACCAATGACAAATTAAGACACCGCTAGTGTTTGATATCATGCTGAAGTCATCCACTGGTCGTTCCTGTGGGGTGCCACATGTCACCACCCTATTGCCGCTTGGGTGGCATAGAGGCCCTCATAATGTCTTCATGTGGAATTACTTTTAAACAAATTTAAAAACTCTCATTTCTTGCTCTGAATGGTTTTCAAAAATCCCAAAAAATTCAAGAAAATTTTATAAATTATTTTTTTATCATAAATACTTAATGTGGAATCAAAATAAATATGGATATTAGGTAAATGAGACCACTAGGCTAAAATCTAGGTTATTAGTGATGGTTCATTCTCTCATAATGATCTAACAAGCCTATGCTCCATAGTTTGTAGCACTCACACATAATATGGATTATCAAAGTTACCCCAATTAATATCCCATCTTTCTCGGGTGTCGTGGATTACAGGTGCACCGTTGGGGACATGGTAACATTCATTTCAGGGGTCTTCTCAAGGTACATATGCACAAACTCTTTCTAGTGGGATCACATATTAAAAGAGTGACTTCCCATGCGACTGTGTGTGCACATGCCATAAAAAGATATTGTATCACTCATGTCCCATGAGTCATGACCATCCTATACAGAGCCATTACACTTAAGACACTCGGGTTCTAATATATTATTGGTTCTCTTAGCCTTGGCCAACACATCATCCATGAGGCATATGATATCAGTATATCCTTGACTTAGAGGTGATCCTCAAACCTCTAAAAGCGATCTCTCTCTCTCTCATCGGTATTTCTCATTGTCTCATGTACTCAGGGTGATGCAGCCATGCCCCAACCGATGGTTCGTGGTTGGGCCAAGAAGGGTCGTAGGACCCAAGAGGGAAAGAAATGGGCAATGATGTAGTAAGAGAGATTATTAGGGTTTTAATTTTTATTATTTTGATAAGAATAGGGAGTATGCAGGGTTAATTAGGAGCGCATGAATTTATATTGTATTTATCTTGTATCGATTGGGTTAGTTACTTTAGAATGTAAATAAGATAAGGTTAAATCTAAGGGGAGTTTTATCTTTTCAATAATAGGTTGGTTTTAGATAAAAAACGTGGAAAGCTTTGGATAAAAACATGGGAAGTTTTGGATCAAAACATGGGAATTTGGATAGAATGTGGGAAGTTTTGGATAAAACGTGGGAAGCAAATCTTTTGGTACATAAAGTTAAAGAGAGGAAAAATAGGGATGAGAGAAACTAAGGGGGATAGATAAAATAGGAGAGTTCGTGTAGGTTTTTTTTTGGCTTATCTTTTCTTTTTTTAGTCTGTTTAAAGGGAGGTTTCCTTTTATTGTAAATAAGAGTGAATGAGTTAATAAAATTTGGTCTCGTGAAGAGATTATTTTGGGGTGGATTCCCTTGTAGACCTTTGAAAGATGGTATTTTGTCTCAACATTCATTTGTTTTTAGCATTAATTTTCTGGTTTTATTCTCTTCATGCATCAATTGGCATCAGAGCGGGTTCCGATGGCACCCCTCAATGGATTAAAGGTATTGACTGGACTAGTTCAAGTCCTAATACAGAGAGTAGACCAATTCATGCATGTAGCTGAGAAAGTAGATGAGCTTTTGCAAAAGTTCACTTAGCTTTAGGGTGGAAGGAATCCGGAGACCGTCGTTGGAACTCAAGGCAATAGAGATGAAAGAGGTATACATCTTGGTCCTAACCAACCTCGGGTGGCCCCAGCTAAGAACAAACTCAATGAACGAATTCTTCGGTTGTTGGAAAGAGAAAGAGAACCTGAAATAAAAATTGATATTTCAGAGTTCCATGGTCGATTGCATGCAGATGATTTTCTAGATTGGTTAAGTAAAGTGGAGACATTGTTTTGAGTATAAAGATTTTTCAGATCACAAAAAAGTAAAATTGGTTTGGTGGTATGATTTGCAACAAATAGTCTTCGACAGAGTTAATTCGTGGGAAAAGATGAAGACGAAGATGCGCCGAAAATTTTTATCAGTAAACTATGCCTGAACTTTGTACTAAATGTGTCAAACCTCAAGCAAGGTGAAAAGTTGGTAAGTGACTATACTGAAGAGTTTGTATATTTTGACATCTAGGGCAAATTTATAGGAGTACGAAGATAAAAAAATAAGTCGCTACTTGAATGGGCTAAATCAAGGCATTCAGAATGAATTAGCCTTTAAAGTTGTCTATAAGATGTTTGATGCCTATACTTTGGCCCTCAAAGCAAATGAAATAGTCAATCTGAGCATTGGGAGAAACAACTTAGTGACAAGAGGCTCTACTTCAACACATGGGTAGCAAACTTTAACCTTTAGAAGACCACCTATAGGGTGTCGAAACCAAACCTCTCAGAATTTGCCAACTAAGCCAAACCCTAATATGGGGAGAGATGGTGTTGGGAGAGGGTTGTGAGCACTTAAACCACCTTGTGATAATACACAATTTGTGTGTTTCAAGTGCCAACAGCCTGGGCATATGGCATTCAATTGCCCCTCACATCAACCCCCTGTCAAAGTTAATTTGGCCAAAGAAAATTATGAAGAAGAAGTCGATGAAGGATACACCTATGAAGGCCAAGGTGATATTGGGTCGAGCTAATCTTATGAAGGGACTGAGTCTTTCAAATGTGAGGTTGAGGAGTTGTATGGAGATGAAGGGGGTGAAGCCTTAGTTGTCCAGTGAACCATGCTATCAACCCCAAGATCTAACGAGGAAGAGACGTGACTGCGACACAATATTTTTTGAATAACTTGCGCATGAAGAGGCAAGATATGCACATACTAATTGATGGTGGGAGCAGTGAAAACATTGTGTTTAAAGAGATAGTGGATATACTTCAATTGAAGGAACATAAGCATCCACGCCCATATCACATCCAGTGGTTCAAGAAAGGAGGTGAGGTACAAGTTTTTACTCAGTGTTTAGTTTCTTTTTCCATTGGTGCTAATTATAAAGACGAAGTACGGTGCGATGTAGCACCTATGGATGCATGTCACATATTACTTGGTAGACCATAGCTTTATGATCATGATATGGTGTATAAAACTATATCAAACACTTATTCTATTATTAACGATGGTATTAATATTATGCTCCACCCTATGAAGCAACTTCCTACACCCAAATCCACTAAAGAAGAGGGTTCCAAGTTGCTTAATGTGTAAAAATTAAAATGGGGCAGCAAGGATATGGATGTGATTTATGTGTTGCTCGCAAAAAAAAATTTTACACCGACTACAATTCCTAGGTCTCTTGAACCTGTACTTAAGAAATATAAAGATTACCTAATGGCCTTCCTCCCATGTTCCTCCAATGAGAAATATTCAACATCATATTAACTTGGGGCCTAGTTCTAGCCTACCGAATTTGGCCCATTCTCGAGTGAGCCCCATGGAACATGAAGAGTTGCGTAGACAAGTTGTTGATTTGCTTAAGAAATGATTGATTCGAGAAAGCATGTCATCATGTACCGTCCTTGCATTACTTACTCCAAAGAAAGATTAGTCATAGAGTGCATGGACAGTCGAGCAATCAACAAAATTACAATCAAGTACTGGTTTCTCATACCCAGGCTCGATGATATGTTAGATATGCTTAATGAAGTCAATGTTTTCTCAAAGTTTGATTTAAAGAGTGGGTACCATCAAATTCAGATTTGTCTTAGGGATGAATAGAAGACCACATTCAAAACTCGAGATGGACTAAATGAGTGGCTTGTGATGCTATTCGAGCTTTCTAATACACCAAGCACATTCATGCGCCTAATGACTGAGGTACTTCATCTTTTTATTGGCAAATTTGTTGTGGTTTATTTTGACAATCTCTTGGGTTTTAGTGCTAACCCACATGATCATCTTAACCACTTTGAACATTTTTTTGATGTGCTAAGGAAAGAATCACTTATTGTGAATTTGAAAAAATGCTCATTTATGACGAAGAATGTCGCATTTCTGAGGTATGTTGTTTCATATGAGGGAATTAAGGTAGATCAAGAAAAGGTGAAAGCCATAACTGATTGGCCAGTTCCAAAGTCACTCACTAATGTGCGTTCTTTTCATAGGCTAGCGACCTTTTATCTCCGATTTATCAAAAATTTCAGCACTCTAATGACACCAGTGATTCATTGTATGAGGGCTGGAAAGTTTTCATGAAGTCCCGCTGTTGAAAAGAGCTTCACTCTAATTAAACAAAAGATGATGTAAGCACCAGTACTTGCCTTACCAAATTTTTCTAAGGTGTTTGAGGTTGAAATGGATGCATCAAATGTTGGCATAAGGGCAGCTCTAAGTCAAGAGGGGCAACCAGTGGCCTTCTTTAGTGAGAAATTGAATGAGGCACGTAAGAAGTATTCGATTTATGAGTTTTATGCAATGGTGCAAACCTTGCGCTACTGGAGATGCTATCTGATTCATAGGGAGTTTGTTCTATACTCAGATCATGATGCACTCCGGTATTTGAGTTCTCAGAAGAAGTTGAATGCGCGACATGCTAAGTGGATGACCTTCCTTCAAGAATACACATTCCTATTAAAGCGTAAGGCTGCAACCCAAAATAAAGTAGCTGATACTTTAAGTAGAAGGATAGTGTTGCTTAGAACTATGTCTATGAAAGTATTAGGGTTTGAAGTGATAAACTGTCAATATAAAGTTGGTCCAATTTTCAGCAATGTCCTTGAAATGTGTGTTGATGGACGAGACCCTATGGGTGAGTATCTCATGCATCATAGTTGTTTATTTAAAGGTATGCGGTTATGTATACCTGATTGCTCCCTAAGGGAGAAAATAATCATGGAGCTTCACGTTGGGGGCGTAGGTGAGTATTTTGGGAAGGACAAAACTATGGCTATGGTTGGAGAAAAATATTTTTGGCCATATATGCGGAGAGATGCTGATCGATTTGTGCCCGATGTCGAACTTGCAAAGTATCTAAAGGTCACACACAAAATACAGGTCTTTATACCCCTCTTTTTGTTTCAGATGCCCCATGGGTTGATATCTCTATGGACTTTGTATTTGAACTTCCACGTACTACACAAGGTATAGACTCTATTTTTATTGTTGTTGATTGATTTTCTAAAATGACACATTTTATTCCTTGTAGGAGAACTATGGATGCTACACATATCGCAAATATCTTTTTCAAAGATATTGTAAGGTTACATGGTGTTCCCAAGTCTATTACATCTGATTGGGATACAAAATTCTTAAGTCATTTTTGGCACACTTTGTGGAAGCGCATGGGAACTAAACTTCAATTTTCTAGTACCTATCATTCTCAAGCAGATAGGCGGATTGAAATAGTGAATAGGAGCCTTGGTAATCTTTTGAGGAGTATTGTTAGTGATAACATATCTCAGTGGGACCTCGCTTTGCCCTAGTTCGAGTTCGCTTACAATAGTTCAGTGAATCGGTCTACAGGAAAATCATCATTTGAGATTCTTAATGGGCGGACTCCTAATCATGTTCTGGACCTAGTGCCATTACCCATACCAGGTAAGATAAGTGATGATTGCCAATGCTTTTGCTGAGCATATTCAAGATTTGCAAGCTCAAATCAAGAAAAAAATTGAGGAAAGCAATGCAAAGTATCAAAAGCCTCAAATGAGCATAGAAGAGAGAAAATTCTCAAGGAGGGAGAGTTAGTAATGATGTATTTGAGAAAGCAAAGGTTTTCATTGGGAACATATACTAAACTCAAGTCCAAGAAGGTGGGCCCTTGTCGCATTTTGAAGCAACATGGAAATAATGCATATAAGGTGGAATTACCAAAGGCATTGGATATCTCCCCGATATTTAATGTTGCTGACTTATTTGAGTTTCATAGAGACCCTCTAGAAATTGAAAAAGAAGTAATTGATATGATGAAGCAATTACCGGGAAAGAAAGATGAGGAAATTGATCAAGTTTTGAAGACTGAAAGCTTTCAAACTCAAAAGGGTTCATATCACAAATTTTTAGTCAAATGGAAGGGCATGTCATACTTTGATAGCACTTGGATTTCTAAGTAAGAATTCAAAAAGGTGGATCCAGACTTATATCACATCTATATTGAAGCCAACTCGTCGAAGTCGAGTTCCTTTCAACTAGGGGGGAAGGATGAAGCCATGCCCGAACCGATGGTTCGTGGCTGGGCCAAGAAGGGTCGTAGGACCCAAGAGGGAAAGAAAGGGACAATGATGTAATAAGGAAGATTATTAGGGTTATTTTTAATTTTTCTTTTGATAAGAAGGGAGTACACAAGGATAATTAGGAGGGCATGAATTTAGATTATTTTTATCTTGTATCGATTGGGTTAGTTAGTTTGGAATGTAAATAAGATAAGGTTAAATCTAAGCAGAGTTTTATCTTTTCAATAATAGGTTGGTTTTGGGTAAAAAACGTGGGAAGCTTTGGATAAAAATGTGGGAAGCATTGGATCAAAACGTAGGAAGCTTTGGATAGAATGTACGAAGTTTTGGATAAAACGTCAGAAGCAAATCTTTTGGTACGTAAAATTAAAGAGAGGAAAAATAGGGGGATAAATAAAATAAGAGAGTGCGTGTAGGGTTTTTTTCCTTTTGCTTATCTTTTCTTTTTTTAGTCTATTTAAAGGGAGGTTTCCCTTCATTGTAAATCAGAGTGAATGAGTTAATAAAATTTGGTCTCGTGAAGAGATTATTTTGTGGTCTATTCGCTTGCAGATCTTTGAGAGAGTGTATTTTCTCTAAACCTTCATTTGTTTTTAGCATTAATTTTCTGTATTTATTCTTTCCCTCCATCACAAGATCTATGATCCTAGGTCCCAGTGCACTGACCACCAAGAATCATCCTCTCTGACTCGCTCCCAATGCACAATGGGTATTGAATTTAAGGTCTTGAAATTTCATAATTCCAACAGTAGTTGGGGTCACCCTTAGCGGTTCTTTGATTGTGGGGATTTGTCTTATCATCAATCATAGTTTCTTAGTTACAATATGTCTCTATTGGCGTAGGCATTCCCCTTCCCTTGCTATCTTTTGGGAGTGTTCGTCTTCTCTCAATCCTTCCTCCCGCTTAAGGGGGATTACCTATTAAGTTGACTTGAGAATGTTTGAAGAAGGTAACTTGAATAATTCTTCTGGGTCAGACTCTTCATCCCAGTTAGGTGGGTTTTTTAAGAAACCACTTGATAATGGTCAAGGGGGACCCTTGGGGGTTTCTTGGAGATTGTCTTTTGGCCATTGGGAAGACAAAAGAGTTGATTCAATGAAAGCAATTGAACTCGGCTCCTTACATCTTCCATCTCTTCCCTTGAGTTTGCCTTATAAGGAGGTATAATTGGATCATCTAAGCTCAATTCTCATTGGATGGAACACTCATATTTTTGGATTTTTGAGTTTGTGGGCTGTAATCCTATCATCATCATCCTCATCCTAGTCTTATCCTAATTAGTTGGGATCAGATACACGAATCCTGCTCCAACTTTTTGTTCGATCAAGGGTCATACCTCTAGTCAGACCACAAGTCACCACATATCTTCTTACTACTTCTATTAATGTCCCTTTGAGCATTTCATTTGTCTTTTTAGAGCCTTCCACTTGAACTAAATCACCCCTCCTTATTGGTGCAATCTTTTGTTGAGTTTTTTTTCTAAGCAATTGTACACCTTCGGCTTGTTGTTCTTATTATTTTCATTGAATTTGTTTGTTTACTATTCTTAGTTGCTTTTTATTGTCTGCTCCCGACATTAGAGGAAGCATACCATGTTATTGTAGTTATGAAAATTTAGACAAAAGATATTCAAGTATGACACTAAATGTTAGCAATCCATGACATTTCATCATTTTATTTTAAGACACAATTTCTACGAGTCCTCGACAAAATAGTAGAAATGTGCCCCCTCTTAATAATCCATTTTTGAAATGCATTTTGGCCCTAAGTTTTAAGGAATATATATTCTAACATTGAGATAATTAATATGTTAAGAATAAATAAATTTTAAAACTAAAAATGATAATTTTTGGAAGGAAATATTTAGACTGTGGGTTTTAATTTTGTTAGAGGGATCACCATTTATATATATCTTTGGGAAGTATGGTTTATGCCTTGGGAATGCAAAGTAGGAATGCATCACCCAACACATATAATATAACTCTTTCATTTTATGTTATTTATATCTATTTGAAATTTTATTTTAACTCAATTTTTTTAGCCAAAATTGAAATATTCATGAGTTTTAATTTGCCAAATTTTTTACTCACCATATTTTTTGCCTCAGATTTTTAGACAAAAACTTATTTATTATCGTATTTTGACTTGCAGATATATTGTTGTCTATCACTTGCTAACTATCATCTGAACTTAATTTTACTCTCTTCACCCAAAAACATGAGACACAATCTTTCAGCCCATTCATAATTTCATTCTCTTCATCCGAAAACATGAGACACAATCTTTCAGCCCATTTTGGAGAAGAAGAAGAACTTGATAGTGACATGTTTTGTATTGGCTTTTGCTTTTATGTAGTCATCATCGTGGCATTTCTTTCTTCGAGGGAATTCAACGAAGATATCATGAAACTTAGCAGATGGTGCTTAATCTATAAATAGTCGAATTATATTTGTTGTACATAACCATAAAATAAGCAATGATGACTTTCTCATATATATATATATATATATATATATAACTTATGAGTCACCTCACTATCCATCAATATGCTATGCATAATCTAAGCAAAGGTGTTGACTCTATTTCCCCTAACTGTACTTTTTTATTTTTGGCTATTAACCTCCTGTAACCCGATCAACTTATAATGATTAACAATTGACAACAATATTGTACCCTAACTATGAAGATGATACTTCTTAGGTATTGAATGAAAATAAGCAATACTATAATAAACAACTTTCTAATAGTCCATACCATATGATTAAGATGTTGTGTGCTTTCTTTTTGTTAAAACCATATTACATGCATACAATATGAAAGACAAACGAAACATACTAATAACAAAAAAGCTTTAGTTATACTAACTTATAAAAGATAATGAGAGAAAAGTGGCTCGGAGAGAAGCCAACGTACACTACTTTGTTATAATTGAAAGAACGATAATTTAATACATGAAATCTCTATCTCTCTCTATCTCTCTCTCTCTCTCTTCTCACATTTTACTATTTGGTTTTTCTTTTATTTCTCGTTTCTTTATTTTTTTAGTAGTTTTTTTTAGGTTTTGTTATATTGGTTCAGAGACTAAGTTTCTTTTTTGAAATAATGATTTCCCCATCATACTTTGCTTTTTTAGTATTTTGTGTTTACTCTATTCTCTATTCAAATGGCTTGCATATTTTTTTATTATGGATTTTTAACAGTAGTAATGAATGTGAATACAATTCGGCATCTTTGAGTTTATTTTATTTTATTTTATTTTTATTTTTATAATACGTGAAGTTACCCCAAAAAATCCCACTTTACGTATGCATTTAAAGAATAAAAATTGATGTAGAGCTCTATATATCTCTGTAAACCCTCCCGTTAAATAAATCAATAAAGCCTCTAGTTAAATAAGTTAGAAGATTGAAAATAATGCGTACTCTCTCTATCTCTCTTCCCTTATGTGTACTCTCTCTCTCTCTCTTCCCTTATGATTTATTTACTTTCTAAGTTGGATTTAAAGCTCTTTTTTTTAAGGACAAAATAATGCCTCTCTCTCTCTCTCTCTCTCTTCTTTTCCTATAATCCTGTAAATATGGCAGCAATGAGATCCTTATCTATTATTTTATTGATATGGTAAATCTCTCTCTCTTCTCTATAATCTCATAAATATAAAAGCGATGATATCTTTATCTATTTTGTTGATATGGTAAATATGGAGCAATGATATCTATATCTATTTTGTTGACATTGTAAGTATCAATAATAAGTATCCTTAGCAATGAAATACTTATTTGGGTTTGCCAAGGCTTTCAGTATCAGTTTGGGATAAAGTGGTGGAAAGAGTTCAAGTCAAGTTAGATTTATGGAAGCCAAAATTTTTATCTTTGGGTGGAAGAGCCACTCTTTTGAGTTCATATTTGGCAAACCTCCCTAGTTATGAAATGTCTATTATTTAGATGCCGGCTTCAATTGCTAGGAAAATTGACTGTATGATGCAAAAAATTTTATGGGGCTCTTAGAGGGAAGCTAGGAAGTATCATCTCCTTAGTTGGGATACAGTATGTACTTCGAAGAGTGAAGGAGGTATGGGATAAGGAAAATTAAATGTGTCAATCAAGCCCTTCTTTAGAAATGGTGGTAGCGCAATTTTAACTTTAAGGATCAGTTATGGTATTAAGGTCTTTTCGCTAAATATGGTATTAATAGGCAGGGATGTGGATCTTGGGTAGCAGAGGGAATAACAAATCTATCTTTTGGATATCTA